TAGGTTGATAGTCCCTTTTAGCCTGAAATGGGCCCTGCTGTACATGACAAGCCATGTTATTCTCCAGCATTTGACAATGACTTCCTCTCTGCTGCTGTTTCTCCAGGGGCCGGTCTCCCGAGTGGTACAGCAAGGTCTTTGGACAACTTTGTGCCATGGAGCTGGCAAGGATACGAGATTCTTTCCCAGTGCTTAGCCCATGTGGCCCTGAGACAAAGATTTGAGGCGACTGGAAGAGGCTCACTCCTGTTTGATCGTGAACCTCCCAGACAATGTGGGGTGGAGCATGGAGAGGGAACCTGGCCATCAGCAGGCTGTTGGCATCTGGTTGGGCGGGGCAGTGCCTTTCCGGGCACATGAGCATGAGTTTTCCTTTGAACCAACCACCAACCCTGAAGGAGCCAATAGTTTTTTCCATCTCTGTGTGATCCCTTTCCTCTTACACACCAGGGACCTTCAGAGCTGTGCCCAGTGGCATGTCCTTGTGGGCACCAGGGGCCAAACGGAAGCCATCATGTCCTGCTTCCAGAATGCCCGTTGCTGGTTGAAAGGCAGCAAGAATCTCCTCCCTAAAGCTCTGAAGAGCAGCTTTGCAGAAACGAACCAGTGTGCTGCTTGTGGGACGGCTCTCTCCAGCAATCGTCCGCCCGCCCGCCATGGGGAGAGTGGGGCTGGGGAGTCCATACAGCAGGCTGAGCCGTGAAGCAACTGGACCAGAGTCAGACCCATTAACCCCCTTTGCCAGACTGACCATGGGCTCACCCTTTCAGCCCAGGGACTGGACTCAGCGACAAGAGCGACGGTGCTTGAAGTGACCAAGGATGATGCTGATGTGTAGGAGAAGTGAGAGAGGGCGGAGCTGGTGCAGCGTCTGTATGGCGGTGTGTGGTGTCAGGAGGAGTGTCTGCTGGGGATGTTACAGTGTGTGTGAGCTGTACCTAGCAGCGCGGCACACAGGCAATAATAGTCTGAGGAGCTGGTTAATGTCAGATGGATGCTGCTGTTATTCTGGTTTATAGTTAATGACCGCCATGTGGTGAATGGCAAAAAGGAAGCTATTTTACTCTGGGTGCTGAATTTCACTGGGGAAGGAACTCCAGGTCTTTCTACTTTCTACTTGATCAGACGCAGGGAATCTCTAGCACCCGTTTTTAGCACAGGGCCATGTAGACCGATGAATGAGGGTGCAAATGCTTTGCTAACCAGGGACCCAGTCCTAATCCCCATGGAATCCAGTGGGAGCCTAGCCATTCATTTTCATGAATTGGATCAGATCCAAATTTGATGAGTCCAAATTCCAAAGCATTCACCCTTGTCCTGCGTGTCAGCTATACATGGGGGGTTGCCATTACAAGGCTGGGGGTGAGACCAAAATTGCACAATGCATCTCCCTGATCCCCCTTTGGCTGGGTTTAGTAATCAAGGTACTCCCAGGGTCAGAGTTCCATTTGCCTTGGGGGTGGGGTGGGGGGTGGGGAAGGAGAT